TTTAATAAGACTTACAAACTGAAAATCACCACAAGTTGGGAACTGTAGTGTCGGAGCAAAGGAAGGCAGAACACTTTTTTGTTAACCATGCAATGTGCTCTTCCCTTCTGCATATTAAATACTGCAGGAATTGGATCAATGAAGATGATTTTCCCAGATAACGTGTGGCTTCCCATGGCTTTATTTTACTCCTCTAGGGTGTTTGGATTGATCAGATGACTAGAGCACTGGTTCTTAACCTTGGGTTACTCAGGAGTTTTGGACTGCAACTCCCAGAAGCCTTCACCACCAGCTGTCCTGACTAGGGTTTCTGGGAGTTGCAGTTCAAAAGCATCCGAGTAACAAAGGTTAAGAACCAATGGACTAGAACAATACTCCACCTGGAGAAGAGAAGAGAATCCAGAGAGAAATTAGAAATACATCAGCCACATGTATTTTTGCAAATACATAGAGAATAAAGGTTCCATGACGGAAGTGCTCTGTGACTACTTCTCCTGTCTCTGTCTTGCAGTTACACAAGCCAGAGATTACAACATTCAGCACAACAGGCCCTTCTGCTTGGGCAAGCAATTAATGAATCCCACCACCAGGAAAACTGGAAAGAGGCTGTTCTATGTACACTCAGCCTTGAAAAAAAAATCCATACCCTTAACAAAGCCACGCATGACATGGAATTGACTAAAACTAAGCCAGACCCTAAACCAGTCTGGGAAAATATATTATTTTTTGCACCATAAGATGCACTTTTCCCCCTCCAAAATGTGGGTGGGGAAGTCAGTGCATCTAATGGTGTGAATGCAGCAATTTCATCGCTGCTGGCCCCGTGGGGGGGAGCGTCTCAAGGGTCCGGGTGAGCCTTCCAGGACCCTTGCGAGGCTCCCCCACCCCCCCCCACGGGGCCAGCACCGGCGAAATCGCTAGCTTCCAGGTGGGGGGAACGTCGCAAGGGTCCTGGAAGCTCACTCAGATCCTTGCGACGCTCCTCCCACCCACGCACGGGCCAGCACTGGCAAAATCGCCAGGTTCTTGGAGTGTTTTGAGGCTTCCCAAGCCTCCAAACACTCCCAGAAGCTGGCGATTTTACCCCCCCCCCGGCCCCATGGAGGGGGGGGGAGCATGGCAAGGGGCCAAGGGAGGCTCTCAGGCCCCTTGCCAGGAAAACAACCACATTCTTAACTGAAATGAATGGCAAGAGCTCTTTAATGGGATAAATATTAAAATAATGCATTCAGGAGCATTACTGGGCTTGGGGCCTAAGGCTAAGGCTGGCCTTGCCCTTAGATTGAGGAGAAGAGGAACAGAAGGGTATGGTGACAGATGACAACAGAGTACCGACTTCTTTGGCAGCTATTTGAATAATGTCTGATCCTTAGGGGTCTCTGGCCAAAGGCAGCAGGAGAAGTAGTAACAACAACAACAACTAGGGCATAGTGATTTTTTAAAGGCTGTCCCAAGGTCACAGCACTCTTTAGTTATCCAGCTGAGAAACAGAGGTGCTGAGGGAGCTACTGTAGGTACAGCTCCACTGGGAGTGTTCATTTCAGGCAGTACTGAGTGGATAGCAACAGTAGCTCGACCTTTTGAGTCAACTGTCAGTGACAGAACCTGAGAACAAATCCCCTCCCTCCAATGGCCTGTCGAAATTACACATTAAAAAGAGCTTCAAATGTAGGGAGACAAAACAGTACTCCTGGGATCTTAATCTCCAGAAGTGCTAGCCATACGCCTGGATGACTCCCTTTCCATGGTGAGAGCAAACCACTTCCTGTGGAACAAGATGATAGGGCCTCCAACTTGCAAGTACCGTATTTTTTGCACCATAAGACGCACTTTCCCCCCTCCAAAATGTGGGTGGGGAAGTCAGTGCGTCTAATGGTGTGAATGCAGCAATTTCGTCGCTGCGGGCCCCGTGGGGGGGAGCGTTGCAAGGGTCCGGCTTGGGAAGCCTCAGAAGAGCCCCAGAAGGTGGCAATTTTGCCCCCTCTGGCCCCCGAGGGAGGCAGGGTGAGTCTCCAAAGGGTCCTGGAACACACCCTAGGACTCTTTGGAGACTGACCCTGCCTCCCCTGGGGGCCAGAGGGAGGCAGGGGGAGCCCCCA